TTCCAACTTAAACTTTGGCTGTTATATCTCATCATGAATATTTAATATCACTAATAAATATTTAAGAACCGCAAACACATTTTTTAGGAGCATTAATAAAACTTGATGTCCTGACTGATATAAAGCGTCCTTTTACATGTCAGGAGACACACTTCCTGAATAAAGCGCACACGGATGCACGGCACATCTAAACAGATTGTCCGGACAAACATATTATCTTTAATCACAGCAGTAATGCTTCCTTTCTCCTCGGTCAGCAGGGGCCTGACAAAGGGGAAATGTGTGGCATATTGAAATAGATTTATTCAAACTGATAGCATCTCATCCTATCAGCTTCACACCAAGTGGGCCAAACAGTCTTCAAAGCCTTTAAGGGTGTATTGAACAAAAGAGGGGGGGAAAGTGTCCAAATGAGTTCTGGATCATTCCAGGAGCAAAGGGATCGATAACCACCAGGCTAAGCTCCTCTCGCTCATCCATCTGATTCATATCTTGCCCTCTCTCTGCTTTTTTTTTTTTTTTTTTTTTTTTTGTGCAGATATGAGAGGAATCACCAGACTAAAGGCTTCTGGTCTGTGGCAATATGTACCAGCTTCTGGCTGTTTTCTCAAATACATAAAGCTGTATGTAGTGATTAATGTGAGAACTGAACCAGTGTCAGGATGGACTAGATAAGTCAGCATATTGCGATCTTCACTGGAAACATAAGGCAACAAAGGGAATATACAGACATCCGTAAATAGCTCTGTTAGATCTGGAATTAGAGGTAACGTCTCTTGTGTGGAAAGGATCTTCTGATTAGCCTGGAAGTGCCACTGAGCAACTGTTTATACACTTCAAATAAGGTTCAGATGGCTGCAAATTTCGTGAAAAGTTTGCATCATGTGTCCACCTGACAGTCATGACTCACATGATTAAATTAATCAAAACACTACATCAGTCAGTTATTGTTAGTATTATTACAAATACTGTTTTATATTACTAATTTCTTTTTATATATATTATTCATGTATGTCACTTTTAGAATGCGTCTAACGAGTCATACAAAGGCTGTGAGACACTGGTGGCCCTTCTCAGCTGCTTTTTCTCTAAAGATAACATCTCAGTTCAACAGAGGGAAAATAATACACGGGCAGGTGGTTTTGTAGTGTGTAAGCACTTAAAAATCATTATATGACTCCAAATGAAAAAGTCAGATCAGGTCAGTGTTCAATGACATATTTCATTTTTCTGAGGGCGGAGAGATGAAAAGCTTTTGGGCTAAATAAAGTAACTATTGAATCTTAAGGCCTCTAGGGGGATCCACATGCAAAGGTCTGCATATTCTTCTGTTTTGAGCAAGAGCAGCCCAGTTACTTCAGTGTAGTCAGAAAAGACTCTTTTCAGAAAAAAAAAGAGCATCAGGTTAGCATAACTAAGTAACTGCTGAGCAAGATTAAAGACCGAATCCAGTTAACTTTGATATCCAACCATAAAGAAAACCCAAGCAAATATAATGCATGTACAGCATGTGAGTCACTAACAGTAACACAAATATTTTATGTGCTGACTTCTGAATGGCCTCTGCAGTACAAGGAAAGAGTGTCTGCATAATAATGCTTTGTTCTTAAGCCTCAAAGGAGACTGCTTGACACAGGACCTGAACCGCATGTTTATGGATGGAGTTTACAAAATCTCTAACAGCACACTTGTAATATAAATATAACTTGTGTACACTGCATTGACAGAATAATAATCAGTACATATTATTATAATGCACTTCCACTGGATAGATTAAATCAAGCAAAAATTGGAATATTTCCAGGCAATTTCATGTCTTTGGTATTCTGCCTGGAAACCCGAGTAAGTATCAAATCAAATCAAATCAAATCACTTTTATTGTCACATCACATGTGCAGGTACACTGGTACAGTACATGTGAGTGAAATTCTTGTGTGCGAGCTTCACAAGCAACAGAGTTGTGCAACAATACAATAATGTAAAACAAGCAAAATATAAGAATGGCTAAATCTGAGACTAATAAATATATGTACAATATATAATAGTATATGCATTACTGGATGTGTATACTAAATATGTTTTTCTACGTGTGTGTGTGTGTGTGTGTGTGTGTGTGTGTGTGTGTGTGTGTGTGTGTGTGTGTGTGTGTGTGTGTATACATATTTTACAAATTAAATAGAGTAAACAATAAAATAAAATATATAAAAATATACAGAGTTGGTTGAGACATGTGCAAAACAGTGGCATTTATATACAGTGTGGAGTGCATAATGTTGAAGTAGTGGAGGTGAGGTGTCTATGATGTGTTCAGCAGTCTGATGGCCTGATGGAAAAAGCTGTCTCTCAGTCTGCTGGTTCGGGACCGGATGCTGCAGAACCTCCTTCCTGGTGGAAGTAGTCTGAACAGTTTATGGCTGGGGCGACTGGAGTCCTTGATGATCCTCCCCGCTTTCCTCAGGCAGCGCTTCCTGTAGATGTCTTGGAGGGAGGGAAGCTCACCTCCAATTATCCGTTCAGAGCGAAGTATTTGTGATGGGTTGAGTTTGTTGGCTTACTTAAATTTGAAATTAAAATTTAACAATAGCATGAGATTCTTTTCAAATTATTTATTTGATCTATTTTCATGCTAAAACAATAACTACACATATTACAAAGAAAAAAGCATCAATGACAGAATTTGCTAAGTGTGTACACAATTGTTGATCTTGAGAGGAAACCAACAAATCTCTATTCAAACCAGCATTTATCAAATGTGTGGCCTTAATGTCTTGGAATATGTAAAGCTGTAAGAAAATTACAGAGGTGCTTTCACTTTTAATGCTGTTTTAATGTATAGTAAAAGCTTTAGCAAACTATTGCCCAGTTGCGAAAGCCTGAATGGGGCCGTATCAGCAGGCTACTATTATCTCCCAATATTAGCTATTTGTTGATCTATCATTAATAACACCCAATAGATAAAAATGTAAAAAGCAAAGAGACGAAAGAAACACCCTTCAGCATAGTTTGTTCACCACCAGGCGAATAACTTAATAACTAACAGGAATTCGGTATCTTAATTTAAAAAAAAAAAACTGCTTGACTGTTTTCCTTTTTTGTAAAACTGTACATTCGAAAGTTCATTGATGACAGCAACAATTATATTTTAGCATTAAAAATATATTCAAAATGCATTTTAGCATTTTTAAATGTTTTTAAAAATAAATATTTAACTTTTTTGACACCATACACTAAAACAATAGTTGAAATATAGTAGTAAGTAGATATACAGTTAAACAGCCAACTCAACATGACCTTGGTTCTGGCGTCTTAGGCCTTGGGGCTAGGGTGGGGTTCATGGTGGACTTGACTCGTGATAACCTGTGTGTCTTTCAAATCTTGGCTGCGGCCCTGAATACAACCACTCTAAATAACTCCCAATCTTTGGTTTGACTCCTATTGAGTATTTTCATTTTTTCGCGTGAGACAAGCCTCAGAAATGTTTTCAGATTATATGTGATGCACATGCTGAGTGTAAGACTAACCTACATAGATATCTCTTATGAAACACTGTGTGCTCAGTAAGTCATTCTGACCTCTATTCTGTCACATCCTCTGTTGTGAGAGCACAGATACATTATGTAACCAATGCATCACAGAATGACACCGTGCAGTGATAAAAAAAATAATATATATATATTTAATAAATAAAATAATAACCCTTCACGGCGCGTTTCAGGCAGAACAAAAGATCACAGAAACAAAGCGCACTGTCGCGTCCGCCTCTAATATCAAATACACTCAACTACTGTAATCCTGGACTTTGATCACGTGAGTACAAACTTGGCCAAATGGAAAAGGCGAGTCTCGGGTAGTACGCTTCCGACCGCCATTACATTACAATGCGCGGTGGGCTGGACGATCGTGCGCGAAGAAACGCCACAGCGCTCGGCGTAAAACAAACAGACACGGAGGGTGAGAGTGACACATTCGGGCTGCGCGCACGCATACACTTCCATAGCTGCATAATAACGCCGTCTGAGAGATAAACAATGAGGAAGGAGTCGCCGCCGAGGAAACCAAACACGCCTTTGAGGATTTAATTCAATAGCGAAAGAGAAACAGGAGGATGCGCTTTTAAATGCCGAGGTGGTGCTTTATGAGACATTTCAAATATCTTTATATCTGCAGCATGCAACATATTCTTTATGTCAGCAACGGGCGCCAGACAAGGACGGACACTTCTGCTTGAACTGTGCGTTTTTAAAGAAATCCTACCTGATATATGTATTTTTTTTTCTGGTGTGCAAGACTGAGGCTGTTGTGGTCGCGAGAGGACGTTTCGTAATGATACAAAGCTGAAAGGAAGGAAGGATTTTTTCAAACCTCCGTCTGCACAGACGCCTGTTTGTCGTTTTCCTGCTGGTGGAGTGAACCCTGCAAGAAGAGTTTTTTTCTTGTCTCAACGCTTTGACTCATGATTCAGGCTAACTGAGGAGCCCGCTCGACTTTGTCCGTCCTGCCGCGGAGGAGCACTTGGTTGGTTGGTTGGTGTGTGTTTGTGTGTGTGTGGAGGGGGAAGCTTTTTTTAGAGACCTCTCCGTCTGCGCTCCCGTTTAATTCAAGAGCAACAGAGGGATTAAACATTCCTGCCCGCACCACCCGTTTGTGTGTGTGTGTGTGTGTGTGTGTGTGTGTGTGTGTGTGTGTGTGTGTGTGTGTGTGTGTGTGTGTGTGTTTTCACGCGCACTGGGGTTACATTATTGTGAGAGGAACGGTTGTGACAAGAAAGACGGCTATAAATAGCACACGCGATTCTCGAAAACTATCACAAGTGGTGCATCAGCTTGTGGAAACGGAATCAGATATCCTGCGTGCTCCTCAACTTGATTGTTTCGCAGTGCAGCGATTATATTTCAAGAAGTTTTGACTCTTTAATTTTTTTGTTTGTTTTAGGAGGAGGAGAGGAGGTAGGCTGTTCCCAGAGCGAGGAAGAAAAGGGAGTCGTCGTCCCCCCCCCCCCCCCCCCTTACAAATGGATTACGGTCATTTAATGATGAAACTATCCGCGGAGAGACTGATTTGGAAACAGGCGAATCTTCCTCGGGATTGAAATGGATACATTTGTGCGCTCTCCGGCTGTTGACAGTGATCAGATTTGGAATCGCCCGACCTGGATTGTAACAATGTTGTGATCCCCCGCACACACTTGGATATATCAACACTACAACACAGGCTTTTTTTGTTTTAATTTTTTTAATGCATTTTGCACTTCTTTTTGAAAACGCCCATCCGACCACTCCGAGCCTATTATCCGGACCTCTTGTGAGGTTATAAACCTGCTTGTTTTTTTAAATTTCATTTTTTATATATAAATTGTTATTTTTAATTTTTTTTTATATTTTTGGGGGGCAGATTCGTGAGGGAACCGATTTGTCAGCCCCTGCTCGGTGTTTGATAACCGATGTAGGATTTCGACATGCCCTGCGCTGACGACCCCAAAGGCGGACCATTATGACTACATCGGCGAATTGGGTGGCTAACGGGGCAAGCCTTGAGGACTGCCACTCCAACATCTTCTCTCTGGTACGGTATTAATAAATCATGTTCGTCACAGACACGCGAGGCGGCTGTGATGGACAAGTCATAAGACAGTGGGGAGGCACGCTTTAATGTGTGTCTGCTGTACGAAGGTGAACCAATCGCTGATGTTGTTATTAGGCAATCATTAACACGGGTTAGTGATTCTGAATAAACAGCATATTTCACCACTGTATGCCTGATATCATAAAAGGAGGGTTTAACGAGGATAATTCAACTTTGCTATCACATTTTCAAACCAAAACAAATCTCGTGGCGCTTTAAAACGCAGGGTTCAAATGCTACTACAACTGACTGGTCAATTATTTGTGTATTTGCATGTATCTGGCAAGTAAACAATAGATAAACAGTCATTTATTTTCTCCCTATGAAGCGCACAGTGGCCATTATCCTCCACCCCCTTTAAATAATCATTTCACTGGAAATCTTGCAGGAACTCTAACGCATTGCCAAGCAACTAACTTGGAAAGGAGCCCTGCTGCTGCCGCTGTCTACAGCCAGAGAATAAAGCAAAAAAAAACCCCCCAAAAAAAACAAAACCCAAAGAACCCCCCCCCCCCCCCAAAAAAAAAAACAAACAACAAAAAAAAAACAAAAAAAACTCCGATTTTCAGAAAATAATAGTTTTATGCATGGCGCTGCTAGAAAAAAAAATGCTACCTATCTCATAAATTGGAAAAAGAAGAAGAATTGAGAATGAGAATTAGTGGAATAATTGTCTCACAAGAGAATTTTTTTTCAAAGCAAGAGAGATCTTGACAGGCAGCATCATGTATTAGGCACACAACGGAAGCAGCACTTTCACACTGAAAACAAGGTGTTTTTGACTCTCCAGGCAGCAGCATTTTTGCAGAGGGTGGAAGAGAACCGAGCGGCAGTGCTTTCACAGTTTTTCATCCTGCAATCAGCGAGTTAACTGTCTTACTACAACAGGCAGCCAAGTGGAAAGGCATGCGGTAGACTGAGCTCAGGCGCAGGCTGCCACTGAGAACCACAACAACATATGGGTCCTGGGGGCTTTTCTTTAGGTGATCATGCAGGTTGTCGAACTGCAACAGCAATTGGGACCCTGTTACACTACATACTGAAGTCATAGGGGCACATGTCACATGATTTAAAAAGCACGACACAAAACAGGAGATAGGGGAAGAATAGACTTTGTAGTTAGCACAGAAAGTCAAAATGAATCATCACTTCTTCTTTCTTGTGTACTTGAGTAATATTGGTGTCTGTAACTGGAACAAAGGGGGGGATTTCGAGCTATTTGAGACGCTTGTTTGGATTGCAGTTGCACAGAAACACTGGCATTACGCTAGAAGTCAGCCTGTCAGAAAAGAAAACATCGATTGCCTCTCTGTCACCGTGTCATTCGCGGATATTCCCTTGTGTGTGCGTGGGTGTGTGTCGGGGGAGAGAGCTTGCATTCACTCGCTGTGGCATTATTGGCCATCGTGAACATCCCTTTCAAACGCAGGGAGAAAGACACCATCCATCAGCTGACTTGTTTAGAATATTTATGACTGGCTGGTGCCTAAGTGGTTGCTCACTGGCAGGACTCATGCAGTTCCAAGACGGGACAAAACACTAATGAGACACCGAGTATCCTGATTATAGGGGATGATGGAGACAAAGAGACAGCAATGAAGAGTTGCATTTTGATGCTCATGTGACAAAATGCGGCAGAGGTGGAGGTTGAGGTGCTGTTAATATCACCCGAAGGGAATGAAATGAATCAGCAAACAAAATCTTCAGCATATTCGCGCTTATTGTTTCCTGCAGGCGTCGCTTTAATGCAGAAACGGTTATTGATTAGTGGATGGAATATTGATCAACAAGGAGAGTAATTATTACCTTTATTTAACCAGGAAGTCCCAATGAGCTCAGATCTGTTTTACAAGGGAGGCTTGGCCAAGGTAATCAATCACAATATAATAAATATAATATGTTAAAAAAAAGAAAGCTACAAATACAACTTAAAATACAAGATCTACAGCATAATGTAGAATATATAAATACTCATAACATTTAACATGCACAGGTCTCCTGCAGTGCATTCATTCCTTATGATGCTTTTAAACTCACCACTAGATGCAGGCATGATGGAGATGAGGTCTTTCTGTCTGAACTATAAGCACATCAGGAAACAACCATTTAGAGGAAAGTAGCTGGTAACTGTTACAAAGCTACAAAGGTAGAGTGGAAGCTTAGTTACTATTGCTTTGTAGATTAGATGAACCAGCTACTCCTATTCTTCTGATTTTATGAATCAGTCGAAGGCAGCATCAGGTTTTTTTTTCTTTTTCATGACAATAAAACTGGCTCTGAGGTGGGATGTTTGTGTTTTTTATCTTTCCCTCTAGGTTGTGTTCTAGTGGCTAATCACTGAGCGCTCCTGCTCTGACAGCCTGTTAAACAGCATTCCAGCATGCATTAACCTTGTCGCTCACACCGACTTGCTTACTGTTATTGCAACCCGCACCAGTAAAAAAACAAGGGTACCTTAGGAAGCATAAGCTCCCATAATGTGGGAACTTCATGGGGGCACGGTAGGATTACTGTCATGAGCTCCGTGTGGCCCGTGTCAGATTCTTGAGATTGCTGCAATCACACAACCCACAAAACAACTGTCTTGTGTGCTGGAGATCATCCATCTGTGACAGAAAGCAAACAAGAACCTTTTAGGTGGGAGGCAAAAAAAAAAAAAAAAAAAGAAAGGAAAAAGAGGTGACACGGTGAGCTAAGTCGAAGTGGCACTGAAACAGGGAAGGGTGGAGGAAAGGGAGAAGAGGAGAAACAGGAATGTTTTGGGCTAAAGGAGCGAGCAGAGAGAGAGGGAGAGGCTGATGGACTGAAGCAGAATCTGTTTTCATTTTAGGAAAGTATTATGACTGATGTGCATTTCCTGACTGCTAGCCTCAGCCTATTTGAGCGAGAAACTGAGAGTGAAAGAGTGAGACAGAGCACGAGAGAAAATTAAAGAGGGAGAATGTAATGGGAAAGAGAGTGAGAGAGAGAGAGAGAGAGAGAGAGAGAGGGAACAGTCATCTTTCTGTGGACTGGGCAGGTTCTTGTAAGACTGAGTCCCAGCCTGAATATGAAACGCAAGGAGGAGACAGTTAAGAGCCTCACAACACAGGAAGCCTGTGTGTGTGTGTGTGTGTGTTTGCACTGGGCACACTGTAAACCATGCAGACTCTGGAGGAAAACTTCAAACACCCGTCATATTATACACACAGGCAGACAAACACACCCGGAGATGCTTTCACAAACACAAGCAGCAACACAAAAAGAGAGGTGGTGGTTAAGAAAAATAAACACCCACATTCCCACACTCAAACATATGTATCGCAAAAGTGCACGGGCACACTAAAGTCCTCCCACTCTTGCGTGCGCGTACACACCATGCACCTCGTCGCCTTCATCCGGGGTGTGAATGTATCCTACATCCCGGGCTTGTGCAAACATATGTGGAATGGAGAGACCTTAATTAAAGGACTTCTCCTGTCCCCCTCGACAGAGGCACGTGGAGTGTAACACTGGTAATTAAGTGTCCTCAAGTAGAGGTCTAATGTGATCAACTAAAAGGTGCTCATTAGCCAAACTGTATTCCAATAGAGATCTTGCTTGTATAATGATGATGCTACTGTCTGGCGTGGACATAAAAATGCTAAGAGATGAGGCTGAGGGAATAGCATTAACAGCGGCGTCTTGATTTATGGCAGGTGAGCGGCCATGGCTTGTAAGAAGAAGCAGGTAATCAGGAGCAGTGCCTTTTTAATTTAAGCTGTTTGCGTCTGCTTGTTATTAATGGTAGAGAATATTGCAAGGTTGCTTAGGGATGAAAAAGAGCTGGTGGTTGGATAGTGTGCATGTCGTGGTCTGCTGAGCCAAGAAATTGTTAAACTGGGCATCATTTGAATTGTGTGTTGGAACTATACAGCAAGACTACTGTTTTTGGTATTTGGTACACTCAGAGAATGAAAAATGTATAGCTGTTTAATATATATATATATAGGTTGTTTGTTTGTTTCTACCATAATGACCTCTAAAAATAAATAATTATTAGCAAATAATGTCACGTATATTACTAGTAGTAGATTGTCGGTCCTCTCAATACGATAGATATTTTTAACATTTTGAGATATTCAGAGATTTATCATTTTTTATTTAAACTGCTAATTATGATCACCTAACAAAAGCACCCAGGACCCATATGTTGTTGTGGTTCTCAGCGGCAGCCTGCGGCTGAGCTCAGTCTACCGCATGCCTTTCCACTTGGCTGCCTGTTGTAGTAAGACAGTTAACTCGCTGATTGCAGGATGAAAAACTGTGAGTTAAACTTTGTCAGTATTTGTTTTACCAAAAAGATAGTTATGTCACTTCAGTTTTTCTCTTGCTGCAAAATGAGATTAGATTGTCAAGCATCAGGGCGATCGTGGCTCAAGAGTTGCGAGTAATCGGAAGGTTGCCAGTTCGAGCCCCGCCTTGGACAGTCTCGATCGTTGTGTCCTTGGGCGAGACACTTCACCCGTTGCCTACTGGTGGTGGTCAGAGGGCCCGGTGGCGCCGGTGTCCAGCAGCCTCGCCTCTGTCAGTGCGCCCCAGGGTGGCTGTGGCTACAATGTAGCTTGTTATCACCAGTGTGTGAATGTGTGTGTGAATGAGTGGATGACTGGACGTGTAAAGCGCTTTGGGGTCCTTAGGGACTAGTAAAGCACTATATAAATACCGGCCATTTACCATTTACCATACCAACGCTGTCACTGGAACCTGCTATAAATGAATAAAAAATTCAGACTAAACAATAAGTTGGCAGTTACATTCAATCTGTTTCTGATGATAGAGCAATTAACTGTGATAACTTTAATTGTGATGTCAAAAATCACATGTCCGTTGCTGTCTGTGTAGAAATTCACTATTAACGATTACAATTGCACTGAGCAATATTCCTGTTCTATAGTAACATAACCAGAATACAACCAGCT